AGAAAAAAAATATTTTGCTATATGATTAGCTAATGAAATGATTTTTGTTTTTTGTTGATGTTGAACATTTGACTGTTGTTTTTACAAGTTTTTGCCTCAAGTAAGTGGATCATATTCATAGAATACAACTCAATGGATAATCTCTAATAGAATATTGATAATGTTTTGATTGCTATTCAAGTGATATGCCACTATATTTTGTTTCTATGAATATTTTTGGCTAGCAAGAAGCAGAATTAATATTAAAATTCATAAAATACCCTATTTTTTGGTTAAAACAAATGAACAAATGTAAATCCATTATTCGACCAATTGACCAATTAAATTATTTACCGGATATAACTCTTGAAAATCCATAAATTTCTTAGAGAAATGCACTTTTCTTTCTATTATTTATCATTATTACTGACCAAAAGCCCAATAGTTCAAATATCAATACGAATTTCATATAGAAAAAGTCATGTTAACTATACTATAGATGGTGCTAATAACCAATAAGATATTTTATTTTAATTCAATTTCAGAATTTTAACCGAGAAATTCTCGTGGATCGCCTTTAGAAATTATATGTCTAAGTGGAATTTTTCGTTCTCTTGGTAACTGTTGTATTGAAGATGTTCGAGAATGATCAGCAAAGTAAGCGTCATCGATAATCAACCGGAAAAGAGCATATCGATGAAACCATGCATTTTTACCGGAATGATCTGTTTTCCATGAGTTCACAGACACACTTAATAACCAAAGAGAAAAATATAATATAATTTATAAGTCTTTTTTAAAGAAAAGCAGGCTAGTACAATTTACTTACTGATGATTTATTAAAATGGATAAGATTAGTAATAATGCCAACACTCGATTCATATTGACCTAATACAATAAATTTTTGTGGATATGTGTGAATTATAAACGTGTCAGATTTGTAAATATTTTTGAAGTAGATTAATAATAAAAAGTACGTAAAACAAGATGTATTCATTTAGTCTATTATTAATGATTGATCATGCATGATACATATATACACATGTAAAATCAAATAATTTTTCATCGAGTAGTATATTTCATTAGACATGCTGTTGATTATGATAAATAGTGTCTTACAACATGTTGCTATTGTTTTTTTGTTTTTCAAAAAGAAAAATTACATTCTCTCTGTTTTTTTATTTTGTTCACGAATAGGAAAGCTGTGCTTTCAAAAACATAGACAAGAGATGAATGTTTTATACATCCATCAGCAAACATACACATACATATATATATGGAAAACAAAAAGAAAAAAAGTACTCTGAAGAAAGACAAATAACAGAAAACAAAAGACAAACAGAAAATCTGATGATGATGATATATCGATTAGCTAAGTTTTCATTTTTTGCAATGTATGAAAATCACAACCTTATCACCGTATTATCTTTTATAAACAACAAAGAAAAATAATACAAATTTTTTTGAATGTTTTAATTAAATATGCCATTCAGTTTATCATGGAAAAGCTAAATGAAGATTTATTCAATTAATAATCATAATATTAATTTCTATATTTATTATACTTACTATCATTATAAATATCTGATTCACCAACGGCTACATTATACAAAATATATTCCATTGATGTAAGTTTATCATTAAAATGCATTGCAATTTCTTCATTATGAGCTGGTACTATATATGGAGCTAATTTCGGATGTTGAGTAATCGACTGAAAAAATTCAAAAATAAATAAATATCTTTCGTAGATATTTCATATAAAAGAAAACGGATGTTATTAATTTACCTGTCCATCAAGAATAATTTTAACAAAATGAAGTGGCCTAATATCAAAGAAAGAAAAACCAATAAAAAAAAAAAATTCATATAATAAAAATTTCTATATACCATTGTTGACCGATGCCTTGTTGAAATTGAACTTCAACAATACGATTTTTTACAAGCGCAGTAAATATCTGAGTTGCTTCTGAAGTCCAAAAATTTTCATTACGTGGAAATGCCTAAAAAAAGAAAAAAAATTAATTCTATAAAAAAAAAAGAATCAATTAAAAGAAAGTTTACTTCAGCTAATGTACAAGCAACAGTCATAGCAGGTAAACGAGCTAATGATTCTTGTAATGGATAAATTTCATTGGCTGGTTTTGTTTCAGAATTACCATAATCAATAAAAACAATAAGTATAGATTCATCTAAAATATAGATTTAAAATTTATAAAATAATAAATATATATTATATAACTACCTTGTATAAGAACAACTCGAGCTCGATACCAAAGATTATCTTCACTAAAACGAGCTACACAAAAATCACCAATCGATGGATTTCGTAAAGGTATTGTTATATTAGTTGATTTATTATAATAATTACTAAAAGAATAAGTTAATAATTATTTATTCAATAAAACTTTATTATTTACTTCATTTCAATTGACATTATACTAAATTGTTCAGCAACACGTGGATCTTGATTACAAACAAAAAATGCTGATGGATGATCAATAATTGGTATATCAGCATTATGCCAAATAGTATTAGCTTTAATAACTTGCATTTTAACACGAACTTTACCATTAGTTTGATTTGATATTCGAGCTAAAATGCAAAAATAAATTAATCAATAAATAAAAAAAAAATTTTTTTTCGTTAGATTTTATATACATGAATAAGTATCTGACATAGTTGATGGACGAGTACTGGATGATTGTTGTTGATAATCACTTATCGATCCATTTGGTATTGATTTTTGTAGTGTTGAAAAATCAGATGTTTGTGAAATAAGTAAATTTTGTGATGAAATTTTCGATTGATTATAACCATTATCTTTTTGAATAGTTGATGATGGTCGATGAAAAGCAGATTGTTGTTGTAATTGAATTTGTTCTAATGATTGTTGTCCTAATGAATATTTTTGTTGAAATAATGTTGCTGTATTTCTTGGTGTAAATACATTTGTTGATGAATTTGTAGTAACATGTAATGGATTTTGAAAATTAAAACCAACTTGTTGATCATTTAATGAACGTCCTGTATTAGAAGATATATTTCGTTGTGATAGAAATCCAGTATTAACATTTTCATTTTTAATATTAGACATCTGTACAAAAGATGAAGGAACACGTTCTGATAATTGATTAATAGATGACATTGAAGGACATACTAATATGTTACAACAGAAAAAAAAATTTAATAGAGATCTGTTTGTCTTTTTTGTTATTTACCTTCACGTTTTTCACTACCAGTTAGAAGAATATTTGTAATTGAAGATTGAAGATTATGTAAAGATTCTGTTTGAAGTTCAACAATTGCAAGTTTTTCAGCAACATTCAATAAAACTTGATTACATTTTGATACTTTTTGAGCAACAATTGGTGATATATTAGAATCTAATTCAATTGAATGTCGTTTATTCATCCATGTTTGTTTAACTTCATCAACATAGGAATTAACTTGAAGTAAACGATTACTAAGACGATCACACAAAAAAAGAAGATGATCAATATCGTCGAAAAGTTCGACTGAATTTAAATTATTTAAAGTATTCATATCTAAAAATAATATTAAATTAAATACATAAAAAACAAAAAAAAAAAAAATTTTTTTCATTGAATTTTTAATATAAATATCAATAATCGAAAGTAAGTCAATTACAAGTCTTTTATTCATTTCAAATTAATTAAATGTTATTATATTAATAGAAGTTATATAATGATTATTATTTTGAATATTAAATAAATATTTCATAAAACAACTGAACATTGTCATATATTGAACTAAATATAAAATACAGATTCATGGGGAGATCTATATCTAATAGTGAGAATGAAGATCGAACCGATTGAATATATACGATTGCATATTGTTTAGGATTAATGGCTCGATGTATACAACGATTGCTCTAAAACTTTTCCTGTCTACTACGAAATCTGTTATAGTGGAAATTATTCGATAGCTTCTAAAGTGCATAATGACATTCGAATACAGTCAACTTTCATATTATGTAATTGACCTTTGTCTAGGTATGCACCAGTCCCAGTCGGACTTGTATCCACTCGGACTGGAATTGGTGCATACCTACCTTTGTCCTAGATTGAAAAAGCATGATCATAAACGGTCGTATAAGGCAAAGCCCGATAGCCATATATGACGGGCGAATAGGATCGCCCTATATAACTGTAACTTACTCACAAGTTGAAATGTTCATCTTGATCAAGGCTTTACCTGAAGATCATTCCACGGCGTATTATTATGGTAATGAAATATTACTCATATTCGACAATAGAATAAATTCATTCAGCAATTGTATAAACTGTATGAATAACATAAAAAAAAAAAAAGAATAATTGAAAAGAAAAAAAAAATCACACATACTAGAGTATGTTCTTATGATTTGAATAAAAAAGTTCATTGATTGTTGAATATAAAATAATTTTTCTTAAGTTTTCTACGAATGATCATATTTTTAACAGGAACTCTTTAAATACAAACAATGTAACTTTAGATATTCAAAAAAAACAAAAAAAATAGATACATAAAGTTTTAATTTTATTTCATTAATTTCTAATTACTAAAAACAATTCTCATTTAAAATATATATTTACCATCTTTTTTTTTTAATCACTTGGCTTCTTTTTTTTTTTCCTCAATAATAATTTAAGAATAAAATACAAACATCAATTTATCAAAAATAACGAAACAAAAAGATGATATTGTATTAACAATATAAAATACAATGATCTGAAAATGCACATATATTGATATAAAGATGGATCCAATCTCATCTTTTTCAACTCTCCTGAAATTATATATCCATAAGGATTTTTTTTTTGTTATCTTTGCATCAACACTTTCGAAAGTCATAATAAATCTCAAGACAAAAAGAAAAAAAAAAGAACACTATCGACACAAGACATAAAACATTGAATGCAGAAAAGAAAAAAAAAATAACATATTTGTCGTTAAGAAACAGACAAATTAGAACACTATTCACTAAAGTTTATTTGTTTTTTTTTTTGCATGTATCAATCAAATTCCTCTTCGGTAATAGGTACATTGAAAAGAATATATTCTTGATGCGTAAGAGAATTTGCTAATTGTTCAGCAATAAAACGATTTGGTCTTGGTTCAATACGTTGTTTTAAACTTAATAAATTTGTTATAGTCTAAATAAATATGTATATAAAAAAAAACAAACTTCAAATTTCTTGATTTATATATATAAATATTATCTTACCTGATTTCCAACAGTAATTCTAACAAAATGTAATGGCCTATTATAGAAAATAAAAAATTTCTTTCAATATATGAAAAACACAAACCATTGTTCTGTTCCTTCTTCTGTATTAGCAAATGAAACTTCAACTATTTTATCAGCTACTTCTTCTCGAAAAATTCGATTTGTTTCATCTGGCCATAATGAATCTTTATCATTTGGTGTACGAGGATAAGCCTAAAACAATATGTTTTTTTCTTTTAATCCTTATCAAAAACAAAAAAAAAATTGATTTTTTTGTCTTTTAATACTTCAGATAAACTACAAGCAATAGCTTGTGCTGGTAAATCAGTATATAATTTATCAAGTGGAAAAAATTCATTAATAAGTTTTGTTTCAATATTTCCAAAATCAATAAAAACAATTCGTATACGATCATGTTCTTCACACATTAATAAACGTGCACGATACCAACGATCATCTTCACTATATTTTGCAACACCAAAATCACCTATGGAAATATTTTCTAATGGTATTAATTTATCTGATTGTTCTAAACGACTATAATAATCACTGAAAATGAAAAAAAAAACAAATTATTTTATTGAATAATTTTTCTTTTCTTTTTTTCGAACATACTGAAGATCTTCTAACATATGATTAAATTTTTCATGTACTTTTGGATCAAGATTTTCAACATAAAATGCTGAAAGTGAATCAATAACATCAATTTTTGCTTGTTTCCATTTTGTACCAGGTGGAATTCGTTGTAATTTTACATGAACTTTACCACCTAGATAAAAAAAGGAAAAAAATCTTTAACAGTGACAAAACAACAAAAACAATATTTCATTTATTTTCACATACGAGGTGGTTGTTGATAATTACTCATCATTTGATTAGTCGAAGAAGCTGCCATATGATCTGATTGTGGTGTTCGTCCACCGTAGGATGGTACTGTTGAACGTATCTATAAAAATAATTTCGATTTATTTGAACTGTTATTAGTGAAAGTTATATTAACAGAATGTTGAATAAGCATGAATTTAAGAAAATCTGAATCGCTGTAAAAATTGCGAACATCCTCAAAATGCTCGTTCCAATTAACGAGACTAGAAGAATCTCAAATGGATTTCATTTGATGAGCTAACTTCTGCAGAAAAGAAGTATCAGACATTAATATTTCAATATAATAGAACCCAATTATTTGTATCTACTGTTTTCTCTACATACTTTCTTATTCAAAGTCATAACTCATATCAGAACAAGTATAAAGGAAAGAATAAGAAGAGAAATGTTATTGTTCAGATGGTGAATTTACAAACATTCACAAGGATTGGAAATATCTACATTTTCGTATATAGGAATTTTCCCACTGTGTTATTTTAGTTCGCATAGGGAATTTTCCCCATCTATTCTTATGTATACATTCATGTTCGTTCTACACTATGTTGTCATATAGTACCAGTGGCGTAGCCAGGAATTTTTCAGTCATGGGCAATTCATTAGCTGAACTATTTTGAGTTACGGGCGACTAAGGGCAACCGTTATAATTTCAAAAATATCTATGGGCAATTGCCTAATGGCCCTATCCCTGGCTACGCCACTGTATAGTACATTAGTTATCTTGTTCTCTAACTCCTCTTCTTCAATTTGTCATCATAATCGATCTACAGTTACAATATTGTAATTCAAGCATTGGACATAGTCTATCAATTCTACTTATAGCCAAAATAGGAACTTAATCAGCTGATGGAGTTATCTCTTACGAGATATAAATAAAATACGTTCTGACTCACGTTGATCCAAAAAGCTCAAAAAAAAGTAAACATTCGAAAAGTTAATGTCAACTGGGATTCTGCTACATATTGTTACTGAAGAAAGACGTCAGACATTGACTACAACTTCATGTAACATTATTTTTCGAAGCATTTCTCAAAGTGAGATTCAGTAGACTCAGAATTTTAAGCTCTATCGATTAGTATAAGTCTCTACTAAAATAATGCTTAGAATGGGTCACAGCGTATTTTACTAATCTCTCCTTGTAAGTGAACAACAAGAAATAACTGTACGTTGATTTGTTCATGTACACAAAGATAGCCAAATATTGACAAAAAAGAAACAAAACTCAGGCCCGAGTTCACAAAAATGTTGGCTTAGGGTTAATAAACTTGATGTGTATTTGTTAGTATATCTTTTATAATTAAATAATATGTCTCTATGAAAATAACTTAATGAAATATTCTTATAATTTTAAAACTTACAAAATTAAGTCCTTCAGTAGCTGGATAATGAGTAGTTTGTGGATGAATTGGTGTTGGTCGTGATGTATTTTCTGAAATATTTGATGTTCGTTGTTGTTCAATAGGTTTAAAACCAGTTTTTTCTTGTGTAGCTGCTAATGATAAACGATTTGATGGTGTTGGTTGTGATGTTCGAAGTACAGGCATAGGTAATGTTTGTTTTCCAATTGTTTTACCATTTAGTGTTGGTTCTGTATATGATTGTTGTTGTTGTTGTTGATTTATTGAATTTAACGATGGTGAAGGTACAACATGATGTGTACGTGATAAAACAGTAGTTGCTGTTGAATGTGAAACATTTGTATCTAATGATCGTGCTGAAAATGATGTTGATCTTGGTATTGAATGTGTTTGTAATGATGATTTTGGATCAATATGAAGAATTTGTTCAATTAATAAATCAACTCGACATAGAGCTGATAAAAAAAAAGAAATTAATTTTTCTTAAAAAAAAAACTAAAACTAATATTCATTTAATTAACCTTGAACAGCTTCAATAGCTAATTCATTAATACGTTGAGTTTTTGGTAGAAGAAAATCAAATGATGATGTTGATTTCATTTGATCAAAAATTATTTGTCGACGATATTGCCATAAATCTGTTTGATGATTAATACCATGTAAGATTTTATTAATATATTCTTTTGCTTTATCATATACCACAAATAGACGACTGAAAAAATAAAATAAAATATTCAATTTTTTCCTTCATTTTTATTACATACTCAATTTCATCTATAACTATAGTTCCACTTGATTCATGTGTCATAATGAAAACTTTAATTCTTTTAATAACAAATAGAGATATTTTAATTACTATAATAATAAAGAACAAATCTAATATTAGATATGTTTGTGAACAACTTATGGACTCTCAAGCATTTGATTAAAATAAAACATGGAATAAATAAATGCACCTATGACAAACATCGATATAGAGGACGAATAAAAATTATCTTTTTTTCTTTCTATAGTAATTGCAATTTAAATGAAGATGATAAATGTTAATTGACAAAATATAGTATACTGTAGAGATATGAAGAAAAAAAAAACATATGTCGCCAGTCATACTTTTTCATTATGAGAAAGGTTATTAATCAGAAAAAAAAACAAAAAACTGCATATACTTTGTTTAATGAAATCAAATTTTTTGTTATTATTATTATTTATTGAGTATTTAATAGAACAATATTTAAATTTATTCATTCGAAAATTTAAAAAAATGAAAACTATGAGAAAGTCATGTTTTGTTGATAACAAGGTAGATTGTGTTGATCATTTTCAATAAGATAAATATATGATTTAAATTCGATCTTTCAAATATATATATTTTTTTTCTTTAGAACAATTCATTTCTCTTCTATTTATGTTCAAATGAGATTAGAATACTACTGTGAAAAAATAGACTATTTTCACTCTTAGTCTAATGTTTTTTGTTCATTGATCAAAATATTGAAATTGATAGAAAATGTTCTGTAAATATTTTAACGCAGAATGGACCGGTCAAAAATTCAGATACAATCAAATTTTTGCAATATTTTGAAAGCTAAATGAATGCAAAATGCAATCTCATATGGTAAAAACTACTAGAGATAGTATGAAGTAGTAAGTTTGTAACAATAAAAGTCTGTTCAGAATCTATTTATCAATACATGAAGGATGGTTATTCTAATAAATTTCAACTAAAAGTTTTAAAAACATCGTATATTTGAGTAAGCATTCACTGTAAATCTTTGGAAAAATTTTCTCTTCCTCCTTGAATATTTTAGTTCATTATTATCATCCGTATACAATAACCTTGCATAAGATAAGAAAACTAGTAAATGCATAAAAATAAAAAATTCATTTTTATTGAAATTAGAACGTATTTTATTATTTTGGATCAGACAATGATGCTTCCTCTATGAATGAGTCTATCTAACTGCAGCTTAAGGTCAAAAGCAGTCATACCAATATTCATCACTAAGCAAGAACTCTTTCAAAACATTTGTAAAGATTACTTTAGATTGATTGTTTGATACATTGCCTTTAATCAGTTGTATTGACAATTATTTGATAGGTGACGATAAAAAAAAAAATATTAGAGCTTAATTTTTCATTTCAGATTTTTCTGAATTTTCAAAGGTCTTGAAAACTGATTCTTAAATTCAAATTAGTAACTTTGTAGAACATCCTTGTCAGTAATGAGAAAGAGATTGTATCGAGTCAATTTATAACTTTTTCTCATCATATTTGAAAGACAATTGTGTTATTCTATTTTATTTATTAAAATTTGATGTTTCTATTAACAATGTGACAACATGTTTATAATTGAATTTTTGATAAAATAGGAAATTCAATGCATGCAATTAAACTACACTGTAGAGTTTCATGATTTGCATTTTACTATGAATTACGATTACAACCATTTTTGTTGAAATAAATTCTCAAATAACAATATGTCAAGTTCATCATACTATCATATAAATAATAATAGTATTTCTTCGACTATTTAGTTATGACATGAAATATTAATAATCTATATGAGATAAATATTTTAAAATAATATTAAAATTTTTTAATTTTTGAAAGAAAGTTTTAATAAATTTCTTTTGATTTTATATGAATGTTATTATATTTATTTTCTCTAATTTAAAAAGTAGAAACAACAATATTGGATAACTCAAAGAAAAAAAATCTTAACTTTTTTGAACAGTTGAATCGCATATATCTAACTATAGTCAACGTTGGATAACTATGGTCTAATAATTCAGATTTTTTTTTAAAAGTTTTTGTATTCGATTGCAGTTTATGTATATATATCGTATTGATCGTACAGATTGTGTAGGCAAAGCTATAAGACTTTTAACAAAAGAAGATTTAACTGTATTTTATGAATTAAAAGAAGTTATACTTGAATCATTCGTATTACGATGTCTACTTGAATTACTTAATCATCCCGATGCATAATATAAACTTGATTCGATATTTTATTTATTCTTTTTTTCATTAAAATTAGATTTTGACTTAAATAAAAAAAAGACTTTATTTCTTGTATTTGTATTTCGTTGTGTTTTGTCTTATATTGTACATTATTAATAAAGAAGCATCAGATGAAGAATAAAATAATGACATATGATATATTTCTTTATTTCATGAAAACGAAGCAGTTTGTTTCTTTCTATTGAGTGACGTTTTTTACTACAATAGACATGTTCTTGCTGCATAATCATATGCCAAAACAAATCTCGTATTGAGTTCCTTTTTTTTTGTACTGAAAATTCTGCTCAGATTGACATACTTTTCTGAAATAAATAATGATGAACAGTTTTGTATTATATTTGACCGAAATCTGTAATGATGCTAATCATTCTGGTGTTGTTTTAAGGAAGCTTATTGAAACACAATGTTTATAATAAGTGATTCGGATATTTTCGAAATTTGACTTCCAAATTTTATTTATTCTCTACTCGAAGATATGGGTGTGGGTGTTGATCATCGGTATCTTCACACCCACACCCACCCTGTCAGCCTATATAGAAAGAAAAGCTTTTTATAAAGAATTAAAGTACCTCCGTAGCTATTTTTGGTATGACCTAAGTGATAGATATTTTTACAGTCATTATTTCTATCTCTAAAGACCTGCAACCAGCAGCACGAGAATGTGATGAAAATATAATGTCAATCAGTTTTGTCACAATCAGTAATGGAAACAACAAGCCAAATCTTAACTGATGGAATTCATCATTGATGTACACTCAAATAGTGAAGGAAATTTTATTAACCATCGATTTCAAACAACAATACATCGATCAATTTACTAGTTTTTTTTTCATGAATTATTTGCCACGAATTCGAGAGCATTGCAAAATGTCCACAAAATCGAACGTGAATACCAAGAACATGTTCCGATATAGTGGTATACATATCCATGTTTTCGTTATTCAATGGTGAATCAATCAGTACGCATGATAGAGATCGATCTCATCATTACCATGAGGTTTTTCATTTGAGATCTTCACAACCAAAACCGCTCAGCTCAATGCTCAACAGTTTCCTGGAGATTCAACTTCAAATTCATTTACTATTTGTCGGGGACGAGGACTGTCAAAAGCTGACTTGAATTAAAAGATCAAGATGCAAAGTGAACTTTTACCATTTAATGATTTTCTATCAACCAGTGAGAATCCTCAGGTTTTGCTCAGATAAAACCATTTTCTGACATTCGTCATGTTCGTCATTACAAAGAAGAAGAAGAAATTCTCTTCTCCATGTATTTCATCTTTCGTATTGGGCAATGAAATAAATCGATGGAAATAATCGACTTTGGGAAGTCGAATTAGCATGGACTAGGGACAATGATTCAGATCTCTAGGCACTTAGTGAGCGTATGCGCAAAGAGATTTTTTTTGCAGAAGAAAGAATGGAATCTTTTGGGTGTGTTATTAATTAAAGTTGAACAACTCGACAAAACTCAAGAGATATACGCTATTCTGCTTGATGACAACGACTGATTGGAAAAAAGTATATATTTATTACCAGCTCGGAGCTGTGAAGCAGCTTGCACCTATTTTAGACAATCAAGCAATACCGAGTCGAAGGATTTGGAGGTGGTTGTGGGTATATAGATGTGAGTATCTGCTCTTTACTGATACCCACATCGACACCCTAGACTCTTAAACTCATGCATAACCACACCTACACCACACTCATACCCATATGTCTATTCATATTTGTCTTCATACTCTGTTTCGGCCTCTTTAGTCTGTTTAGCTACTTTTCGATCCTTTAGCTCTATTGTGGAACTCACATATATTTTCGAAGTAAATAGTGAGTGTAAGTTTTGAGTCGAAGATTGCCGACTCACTCTGATCATCTTCAATACACACCTTAGCAACTCTCTCCTTTCCTACTGAGAAGAGAAAAAAAATTTTGTGCGAAACTTTTCAATAAATAAGAAAAACCTTTACTGTATAATACTTGTCTTGAGAAACAATGACAGTCTGCAAGCTAATATTCACTTCGCGTATTTTCTATTGCTTTAACGGGGCTCAACACTCTATGTGAGTTGAGCATTTCAATCTCAAAGGAGTTGTGCCGGGATATGCTTGAATGCGCATGGTTCTTACATCCAAAATGAATAAAAAGAAACTGCATTGACTCAAGTAACCTGAAGCAACGAAAGAAAACTAGGGAACTAAAAGAATGTAAAAGATGAAACGTGCAAAATTCATGGTGGCTTGCAGAGTCTAAGAGTAAAACCTGGTGAATCGAAATTTTTCTAGACTTTCCAAGTGTCCAACATACTTTTATAATTGAATAAGTAAGTTTAACAAAGAATGATGTTAGAAGGTCTTTTTGGAACAGTAACTTTTTAGATCTTTCACAGCTCATACTTCTAAGAATTAGTTCTTTTATTGAGAACTGGGCCTACAGACCAGTTCTCTTTTTATGAATTGAATCCAGTTACCAGTTCTTTCATGCAGAAGAGGACCCGTTGACGAGTTCTTTCTTTTTAGAACTGATCTAGTGTCCGTTTTGTTTCAAATGTTTTTGAGTTATCAATAATGAAAGTCTATCGATTCCATTCAGTACTTGCTGTAGTTGTCAAAAAGGAACTGATTACCACATCTAGTTCTTTAAAAACAGACATGTTCATCATACCCAGTTCCTTTCAAAAGAACTGGATGAGTGATACTAGTTCAATTCTTTGATCGAAAACAGCCAAAGGTCTGTACTTTATTTGCACGATATTTCGAATGTGAGATTGTTTTAGTGGGAGAAATAGACAGGGTCGGCGTGACCGGGGAAAAGATTACCCTTCCTCTACTCCGAAAAATTTTGACTGGGACTTTCTCCGGTTTTGAAAGTTTTGAAGATCAACTTTCTTCGATTTTGGAGAAATATGCTAGATAATTTTCTCTAAAGTAGGAAAAAATTCTATCTTGGAGAACATTTTTAGGTACTTTTCTCTGATTTTCTCCGAATTTGGATTTCGTCCGGTTTTGGAGAAAATTATTCAAAACATTTCTCCGAAAGCGATCGAGAAAATTGCCTAAAAACATTCTGCAGATTTAGATTTCTTCCAATTTTGAAGGCAATATATGACATAACTTTATGCAAAATCAAAGAAAATCGTTAAATGCATTTCTGCAAAACGGAAGAAAATTGCCTAAAAACGTTCTCCAAACTTGAATTTATTCCGAATTTCTAGAAAATTGTTTAATGAATTTTTCGAAAGCAGAAAAGTCCAATTTTGGACAAAATTACTAGGCAATTTTCTTCCATTTCGGAGAAATTCGTTAGAAATTTTTTCTATGCCTAAGGAAATTCAACTTTTGAGAACAGTCTTGAGCAATTTTCTTCAGTTTTGGACAAATGCATTATATAACTTTGTCTTATTCAGAGAAAACTTCAGTTTGGAAAACAATTTTTCACATTCTCCGATTTTAGGACTGATCCCCCTGCTCTGGCAGCTTCTCGCCGCCCCTGGAAATAGATTTCTATGAATGTTTATTGACTAATGTCCGATAGCAATAGATATCTTATAGGATGATGAACTATCTGATGGAAAAGACTTTTTTTAGGCTTTTTCCAGATAGAACCTAGTCCGTTTATAATGCCGACACAGTACTGTTTGATTTTTCATATGATTCCGCGTGGCAAGGAATGGGTTCAGATTACATCGTTCAGTTCCTTGCTCATTCTGGTTATTGGAATCATCCGTGGAAGAGATCTTTTCCTCTGAGTTTTTGCCGTATATAGACATCGGAATCAAAGACCTGGGACTGGCATGTCGACATTAAAGACACGTCTGTTTAAGAGCCTAGTTGTAATTAACAACTCATTTCTTTTTTTCATTATTTGTTTTTGAAAATAAATAATTTAATTTAATTCAATTTGTTTTTCCTATCCAACGATGTAGTTTGAATTGACTTTTCATTTGTTCAACAATGAAATAGTTAGTTTTTCTGACAAACATATACGATGACAATTAATCCGGTTTTTTGTCAATCTTCTCTCAATTTCTTTTGTGTTTCTAAACGAGATCATCATTTAGAACGATACTTTTTTCATCGAACGAGGTATAATCTAAAATAGTTTGATGTAGAATGAAGGCAACATAAAACGACAAGTAAAAGTGTCCAAATAGTTTGTCTTGCGTAGGAAATCAAGCAGTTCGTAAAAGAAACCTCAAAAGCCTTATAAAAACATTCTCGAAAGAATTTTTTTCGTAGAACGACGTAGGGATTTTGTCGTACAAAATGCTACAAAATGATGTAATCAAAGTCAAGGAAATATTTTCTCTTCGTTGCAAAATATGCAGATGGCGATGGCGATCCTAACAATATTCCAATCATTTTTTTTGTGTATTGTAAATGGACTCCGATACATTTTTGTCAATAACACGGTTATTTTGCTTTTTTTTTGTTTCTTACATTTGAGCTTGTGCATCAACTGAAGTGTGACGCTTTAAAAAAACGAACGAGCCGTTATGTAAGTATACACGGTTAGACACGGTTTATACACGGATCCTTTATACACTTATCCTTTTACGCTTTGTTACCTCACCATGTGCGTAAGATATAATGTTTTTTCTTGTTTTGGTTATATGAAACAGATAGCAACTATTCTGCTTTATTATGTAAAATTACATTTAGGTCCTCTTTAGTTCCTACATATTTCATCTCATGCCATACTTCAAAAGCTTCAAAAGGGTTTACATGATTTACTGCCGTGTAAACATTTGTTTACAAATAGATCTTTTTTTTATAAGAAGTTATATGATTAAGTTCGATAAGTCTAATGATCACAATGGAATATTTTATTTTGTTTCCTATGTCAAAAGTTTATTTTTCATCTCAAACGTTCGTAAAACTACGTTGAAATCTAACTATAGTTCGTAATGAGCTTTAAAAAAAAACTAGTGTATGTCAAAGTTTTATTTTTCTTGTCAAAAGTTTGTAAAAGCTCATTGAAATCTAGCTACAGTTAGTAATGAACTTTAAAAAAAAACTTGTTCTATGTCAAAAGTATGTTTTTCATGTCAAACTTTCGTAAAAATCTATTAAAATCTAACTATAGTTCGTAATGACCTCTTCCAAAAAAAACTATTCTATGTCTTAGGTTTATTTTTAAGCTCAGACCTTTGTAAAACTGGATTAAAAGATAACTATAGTTCGTAATGAAGTTTATGAAAAAAAACTTATTTTATGTCAAAAGTTTATTTTTCATATCAAACGTTGGTAAAAATCTGTTAAAATCTAACTATAGTTCGTAATGACCTCTTCCAAAAAAAACTATTCTATGTCATAGGTTTATTTTTTAGCTCAGATCTTTGTAAAACTGGATTAAAAGATAACTATAGTTCGTAATGAACTTTTCGAAAAAAAAACTATTCTATGTCAAAGGTTTATTTTTCATGTCAAACGTTCGTCAAAATGTATTAAAATCTAACTATAGTTCGTAATGAAGTTTATGAAAAAAAACTTATTCTATGTCAAAAGTTTATTTTTCATGTCAAACGTTCGTAAAAATCTGTTAAAATCTAACTATAGTTAGTAATGAAGTTTATGAAAAAAACTATTCTATGTCAAAAGTTTATTTTTCATGTCAAACGTTCGTAAAAATCTATTAAAATCTAACTATAGTTCGTATATTTTTTTTAGGTTTTTTCACTAATGGTTTTTCATTTCTAATATTTCTCTAATGATTTGCTATTAAATATATTAAATCAAGCGATTTAGTATATTGCTAAGTTTACTAAATAGAATGGTACTATTGTAATGTATTACTGATTTTTCTTAATGGTATGTTGTGATCATTAGCTTATCTTAACTATAAATCATATAAGTTACCAATTTGGATAAATAATTGTTAATTGTGCAGATGTGAGACTTTTATTTTATATTTTTAATAATTTTTTTTAATGTGTAGATGTATTGATATAAAGAAAACCATAAAGATCAATAATCATGTTTACGAAACAAAAGATAAATGCGCCTTTTATGAAATTGATTCATTATTGTTAATTAGAAAAATTCATATATAAACCATTGATAAATTGAACTTTTAAATTTTAGAAAAAAAATGTAATAATATATATTAAAAAATATAAATAGAGGAGTAAGCAAAAAGAAATGATTAAAGAAGAGGAGAGAGAAGTATATGCAATGAATTTGTTTTATGATTAAACATTGTAAGAAATAATTTATGAATCTATTATCTTTTAGCGAATAAAAGATTTGTATATTAATAAATAGAACATATATTATTTAAATGAAAAAAAAAATAGTTTATTTTATTTTTTTCCAAGACAATATAGTATTGTTACATTCAGGATCTTTACATCGAATGCTGTATGTATAGGTTTTACTATTTATGATGATAGCTACATTGTTATGTTGATGATGAACTTTTTTCTTTGTACAATATTTATAATGACCTGCTATATTGAAAAATAATAAACTTTTATTGTAAGTTCCTCTAATGCATGAATGTATATAGCCTTGATGAGATGGATCAGATGTAATGATGTTCTGAACAAAAGTAATAAATATTTGGACATCAGGTATAGATAAATCTAGTTTATTAGATTTATTTAGATGTAATGAAGAAGAGGAATTTTGATTTGTATTAGTATTTATATCTAGTTTAAGAAAATATGAATGCTCTATGTGATCATTAATTAATTTAATATTTAATAAATTTTGTGGAATTGTAGTTATTGAATTAGAATTAGAATAAGGTGAAAAATGAATTATAAAATTTTTATTTTTGAAATAAATTTTTGGTATTTGATGATCTTCAATTAATGTAATTAATGATTTTTTAAGAATATCACTGGATGAATATTGTAGCGAAGAATCAAAAGGAAATGTAGTTGATGGAATAAGGGGATTGTTTTTTCCGTATTTTACACTATTAAATAAACGAAATTGTTGGTTTTTTGAATAAACATTTATATCAATCGCTGTAGTTCATTTATCTGCTGCACTTCGTACAAGCAAATATGAAATATCAGCAATTGAAACATAAGGAATGGATATTGTACATGAAGTACAATGTTTTCGTAGTATACTGACATATGCAGCTAAGATTTGAATTAAATTTGATATTGTACAGGGTTCTGGTGGTGAATTGATATTAAACATTGTACATTTATGTTGAATAATTGAGAATAGAAGAAAATGAATAATAGCTTTGAGAAACATACCAAGAGTTGATACATTTTCAAATAAAAATTGATGGTTTCGAATGTATAAAATGATAGGATATCTTTTCGTTTGTTGATCTAATAACAAAAAAGCAAAGATATAATCGATTAATTGTGAAAAATAAATATACATGAAATTTAATCAATATAATTCTATTTTGGAAAGAGAGAGAGACAGAGAGAGAGTAATAAAAAAATTGTATGGCATGTTAAAAAAAATATGATCACTTACGCTTGTAAAACTAGAAATTGTTTTAAAATCTTTTGTGTATAAATTTCGATTGTATCAATAGTATCATTTGGAATATTTAGAAAATAATAAAGTATTTTAAGAGAAGATATAGGACCAATATAATGATTTTCTATATCAAGATTTTTGTCGATGAAGTACTCATAATCAATATATGTTTTTGACAGGCTTTGATAGAGAAATAACTTCATATAAAGTTCGATCGGATACAGGACCATGTTGAAATAATGTTATTAGTTGTTCAATGGTAAGACGACAAAATTGTCGGGATTTATTTTCTTTTTCTATACTTATACAAATATCATTTGTTATATTATTTTGATCGGATGGTTCATTAGTTAAGTCATTTATATGATGAGTTATTATATTATGTGGAAAAATTTTTTTGATTAAATTGTGAATAAAGTCCATGATGTATTTATTATTAATATATGATTATATAGGTTATTAGATATTAATTTCAAATGAAAATATTATTAGGCACTTAAAAAATATATATTATTATACATAAATGGTGTCTTAGAAATTAATTTTATAAAAATATTCTGTTTAATAGTATGGTATTCGAGAAAAAAAAGGTATCATGGTCAAGAAAAAAAATTAAGCATTGATTTTAATATTGATTCGTCGTTTTTTTTGAAGTAAAACAAAATATCAATTAGTCAATTATTTAAAGAATATGCCCAGGTCGAACTCACCCAATCAGATCTGATGGGATTCTGACTATCGGAAGCGCTACCCAGGTCAAACGACCCCAGTCGGATCTCGCCAGTTCGGAATAATTTCGGTCGGATCCGGTCCTATATTTGTCGGATTCCCATCAGCCGGATTCCGGTCCGGATTTAATCGGAATTCGATGGAACACGATGAAATCCGGGCTGGATCAGGTCGGATTTTATCACATTCCGTCGAATTCCGATGAAATCCGGACCGGAATCCGGCTGATGGGAATCCGACAAAAACCTTGTCGGATCCGATCGGTTTTTTATGAAAGATGTCGGATTCCGATGAAATCCGAGGCGGATCCGATCGTTTTCGATCGAATCTACAGGTCGGATTGAATCTCCTGGGATATATATTATTCGTTAATTGTCGACGATTTCCGATGTCGGATTCCGATGACAGGATCCGGTGAGATCCAATAGTCGGATCCGACGAAATTAAGTTAAGATTAATGTCCCACCCCTAGTAGACATATCTCGATTGATGGATATTGAAATATATCATGGTATTATCACGCAACGACAACTAGTTCTGTATTAGGTACTGTAATAAGTAGTCTACTACCTAAAACATGGAGAATAATATTATTTCAAATAAATAATGCTGTTTTTTATTAAATGATTTAAATGTGTATTAATACTAAAAGCATTCAAAAAACAAAAAAAAAACAAATAGAATTCTCTTCGTCTAGAGAAAAATTTCTACGATAACGAAAAATTTTAATATCATCTGAAATTCTAAAAATAATCGATTTGTTGATGATTGTCATGTTTAACGTAATATTTTTCTTTTTATTTACTTTATTTTATTAGTCAGTAAATATATAATGTTTTGTTTTATTGACAATTCGTCATAGATTTCTATGACTCTTATAGTGAAGTAGAATACTATAAGTAGATTTATCAATTAATTTAAAAAGAAAAAAGAGAAAATAATAAGTGCTTAATAAAATTCAACTAGAAACATACATATGTAGACAAACGATAACACTTTATATGTATTTTTTTTTGCTTAAAAAATTTAAGAACATATTATTAATAGTCAAGGAATTTCGAATTAAAATAAATGATTCAATAATCACATTAATACTGTTGTATAACTATATTATATATTATGATATACAATTATTTTTATTAAAGAATTTATTTCAAGAAAACTAAAATTCTACCAAATCTGTCCTATATAGATATAGACTCATGAGTTGTATAGATTTTATTTGCCATTTTTTTCCTTTAAATATCATCATTTTTTAAACCTTTTTATGTGATATAATACATTGATTCATTTTTATTATATTATATTAATCAATATATTACATTATAATCAGAGATGTGCTTCAAAAAAAACGTGGAGGGATGAAAAACGTTCTTTTTCCATTTTGTGATCTTTTTTCTGAATAAAATGTATGATTTTCGCTGGGAAAAACTGAAAATTTTTTAAACGTGAAAGTGTGCGCACCCCGCACACCATGCGCCGCACACCCCTGATTATAATTTTATATAAAATTGGTATTGTATTTCGAAACAAGAATATTTATCATAACTTATTAAATTCTGATGAATTTATAAAACAATTTGATTCATCTAGTCCACTAAAACTCACAGCATAAACATGTATATATCGACACAATAAGAGTCGATTTATTTCATTTTTTTTTAATCGATTAATGCTAAAATAGCAATTCAGTACTGAAACGTAAAAATTCATTCTTTACACGAATATTATATCGTATATAGGAGAATAACATTCAAATGTTTTTTTCCTATTATAAAAAGAGCAGATTCGAGCTAAAATATAAATCCAACAACTATTCCATATAATTTTCTTTTTTCTAAATTGCTTAAATCCTTAGTAAGAGCAAAGGGGGGGGGGGTGGGCGGGGTGAAAAAGACCATAAAAGGAAAAATAGTTGTGAACAAATAAATATGTTAATTAATTTTTTTTAGAATTCGCATGAAAGCAAAGCGCGCCTTATGAAAATTGTTTACGGCAGTAAATTCTGCGGCAGTAAATTCTGTACACGCTTCAAAGTAGTATATCAGAAAAATGCACTGCAACGGCGGACGTTAGATGCCGTTGGATTCGAAGATATACTTAATAGATAGACCTTTTGATTCAAAAAAACACTCAAGTATAACTTCGAACGAATAACAACAAGTCATTTGGTCTCCACAACACGGTACTTCTCCCCATTTTCATTCAGATCTCAACAAGGAAAAGAATATTTTTAGCAAGAGTCATCGAAGTCATTGTTTGATGTGTATTGGTACTTATTCGGCGTAGAGTTTAGGAGAGGTTCGTCAGAAGACTACCAAAGCTTGTCTATAATTAAGAGTATCGCTTTAATTTTACTTGAAAAGTTATGTTAAAGTAACACACTTTGAACTTTAACTCTAAAAAATTCAAGTTGAATGCTATTATGTACAATGCTCCGAGTAATCAGCGTTGATTTTTTTTTCTTAAAGTTATCTTTGTTTTCTTAGCAAAATCATTGCTTCGGGCCATCTTTCATATGAACCTAATAGCAATATGCTTTGATCTCAAAATATGAAGGAAAAACTCTGCTTAAACATGATTGGCTGATAGCTTTTCTCTAAAGACCAATCAAATGCAAGAAAACTGTTTCTCTGCTATTTTAAAAAGAAAAAATAGAGCTCGTCGGGTCATATTAAAGAGGACACTGAAAAACTCTCAATACTCCCAAACCACATCATGTTTTGTCCTCACCATAGAAGAAAAAAACACTACTGAAATCCAATAGGTTGACATCGAAAAGAGTCCAGCTGATCAAATTTAATCAGGGCTTTTTTTCTATTGTCAGAACAAAGCATGATGTTTTTTTTCTTCTTAAAATAGCAAAAAACAACTTCCACACATCTGTTTGATCAGTAACGAAATGTAAATATTGGTAATATACTTTAACTTTTTAAAGTTAAAGTTTTTAAATGTGTTACTTTGCCTCTAACTGTAACATATGAAGTAGATTTAGAGTGATACTCCTACCTATTAGACCTCATCGAGTTCAAGAATTTCTGCACCCGGATTCGGTTGAGGATGTCTTAAATCTCTTAATAAACTTTTCTGATCTTTTTTGAATCAAACAAACAAAAATTTAGAGAAATCCGTAATGTATTATTAGATCCATCAAAAAGTTTTTCGATTTGGCGGATCCTATGGGGCTCTACTACTGATAGCCTGCCTGAGATAAAAGGTTCTTTTTCGATTTATTTTTCTGAAATGAAACATCCTTTCAAAACTCAAAGTATTTGATAATTTCGTTTTGTCTAGACAAAATACAAGCCAAACTAATTAGTATACAAAATACATTTTGGTCTCTATGAATTGTTATCTTGAGAATCTATCCTGTAATTTAAGATTATCTCACGGATCTCACAAGTTTTTAAGTTGAAAAATGTTGCATTCGATACAACATAGTCTACACTAATCAGATCAGTCATGTGCCATGGCTGTTTACAATAATCGTCAACTTTTTAAAGGTGTGTCACGTTCATCGTATGCAATCACTGTAAACGGAGTCTGTGTTAACAGCTAGTGTAAAAATACGGCGCTGTATACGATGTTCGCAATACATCAACACCTATCGCACTGACGATTCGCATGGGAGATAGTGTAATGAATCATTGCCTTCTCTCAAAGTTTTTCATGAATAAGAAAAATTGGCTTAGTTTTGTGAATCACGCAGCATACATTCGGGTTCGTCTACTTGAAAAACCTTTGGTCAACGCTTATCGAGAACCATTTGTTCTTCGAAAACGTCATTTCACTAGAAAAAACGTGCGTTCAAGACATTTATGTCAGCAAAATGGAATGACTAGAGACAAATATGATGTAGTACTCTCGTATCTCTCTCTAACCGAAGGTCAGCCATCATAGCACAGTAGTTATCAAAGAAGGGAAACGGATTAAACGATATATTCAGCGAAAATGATTCAATTGTGTGCGGGCAGCTGACGTGTTGTCCGCTGATGTGGAAATCCTCAGAGTGAGTTAGACAGCAATATTTTGTTTACTTCTTATGTATTTGAAAACGCTTTTTTCACACATTACAATCGGATAATATAATATATCCACGATTGAAATGTGATCAAATCAGGCACTTCAAACTCTTTTTCGGTATGTAGCATCTGGATAGGAGATAATTTTCTCTATAGAAACAGTAGTTTAATAAAAAAATGTCTTTACAGGCTTCCTCTGCACCAGCTTGGAAATACGAGGTTTTTAATAGAAACGACTGGATTCTGATGAAATTAGGCGTTGTAAGGTCTTTTTGTAATCCATACCTTCGATAAAGGCGATTTTCGTGGAAAAAAATTTTTTTCGATGAAAAAGGCTTTTAAGGGCTTTAGTGATACGCAATATTTGTTTTCATAACTGTATTTGAAAAGCGACATGATTGGTCGAGTCATCATAAGTGACTATTTTTCTTGACAGTACGTACGACATGCTAAGACGAGATATGATCGAAAACTGTAGTTTATACTACCATTGATGATTGAATACGACGGTATATTGGTAGTGATTTTGCTATAAAAGGCGTCTGTATGCAGTCGTATACGACACAGCAGTAATTCTGTTGATACTAAATGAGTGATTTACAGGCCGTTTAAGACTATAGCTACATTGTTTACTTTCGTCGTAACCATTGACTTGGATAATAATTCATCCAA